AGAAAAATTGCTGTGTTTGTGTGGAATCAGTTAATGAAAAGGTTAGATATTATTTCATCCCATTAAACAGTCCTGTAGACTGAGATGAGCTGAGTTGAGAACCGGTATCACAGCACTCAAACATACACAGTAAAGTTCCGTCTTTTACCTTCAGCAGGCTTCGAAAAGTTCCAGTATTAATGATCATCCCATAAGATACGTATAAGGAAAGCAGCTGTTGGCTGTTGGCTCTTAGCGTGTGCCGGCCAAATGACTTGTTAAGAAAACACTTAGTGTTATGTTTGGGTCAAACAGAAGAGAGACAATCAAACAAACAACAGTTCTTGAGATTGATACATCAGTAAATTAAAAAAAAAAAGTTACCCTTGTTCAACGCTTAGGGAAAATAAGTTCTTGAAAATTCTTTGAAAGTTAGGGAGAATTTTCTGTCAGAATTTACTAGAGATGTTGATAATCCACATTTCCGTTTAGCGTGGCAAGGATTGATTGAAAGCATAAAACTCCCGTACCTGAATAAACACATATTGATGCGACTTTTTGAGAACTTTCGAGTAAATGTAAAAAAAGCTTGCCACTGTTTTTTTTTCTTCTGACGAAGAAAACACATATCGGCTTAAAGTATTGAAATAAATTCAAATCCAGTGAATGTTGTTAACAAGATTTCACTTGTCTATGTCCGAATCCGCTTGACCTTGGAAAATAATGTGACACAAAATACACACGAAAAGAAGAAATACAGAATGACGCGCCTACGACTGAGATTATGTTGAGTAAGCTGCAAACAGTTGGACAGAGACTAGGGTAGCTTGGTAAAGGAGTAGAGCTCTCTGAGGAGTTTTGAACGATTCTCTTTGTTTGAGGATATTGGCATCACGAAAAGGATTTCTTTATGCTCCATATGGAAAAATATAAGACAGAAGGCGAATCTGTGTTCATCAACTGGACGCGATCATTATATCGTCAACATTGTCGTAGTTTTATTCAGCTACTGTGAAAGGAAGAAAAACATTGTTTTTACCTTTCCTTTAATGAAACAAAATTGTATGAAAATATTCGATGAAAAATGCTATTCTTTTAGTTACGAAAGCAATGGCAAACTACTGAACGTAAAACTGCCCTGTAAAATCACAAACAGTAAACATCATGTGGTCGGCTCAGCAACGTTCTGTAAACGAATCGCATTTAACTTTTAGTTAAGACAAGTTTAGGACAATCTGATGATTGCCGTACTCACTCTGCCACTCCAACTGTCATTACGAATACAATCATTCAAGTGAAGAGAATGGTTTTTGTGTGTTACGTCTAGCTTGGGCTGTGGGACAATTGATAACATTCACTAACGGACACAGAAGCCGTGTGGCCTATGATCATCTCAGTCAAAAGAATGCTGTATGGTACACTGTGATTTTGACCACACGTCAGTCTTTCTCTGGACCCGTGGCGTCTTGCTGTATGTTTTCTGACAGAAGGATCGAGGAAGAATAGAGGAAAGACAGGATTATATTTATTCAAATTCGATGCTACTTTAAAGAACAGATCTAAACGAGTGTTCTATTCCTAACGATACTTTTATCGATACTTTTAATGCAAAGGAAGTTGACAATTTGTTTTATAAAATGTTTTATGGAGACGCTAATATTTGGCCAAATTCAGTCAAATGGAACAAACATGAACAAGTTGTCTTTCAGCAAAACTTTATTAGTGTTGTGAAAGTCTACAATTTGTTACATGAACAGTGTTATTTGTTTGACCAGAATATTTATTCCACATGGCGTCTCTAGACACAATGTCAGAGAACCAAAACTATCCATGATTTATGTTGCCACAAATCTATGAAAGTTGACAACATACCAGAGAAATGGATACAATGTCAGAAATACTATAAAAGTTAATTTTTCAAACAGTAAGCCAGAACCGCCCATTTGGTGTCGTCAAGTGGTTTGTTGTTATTGAGAATGTATCATTCATTAGGGAAACTGCAATGATCGTTAGGACAAACAGTTGACTGTATCCGATTATTTGGTATAATAACTATAAAACCGTTGGGAAAATATGCTGGCTCATGTTTTGAAGTCAAAAAACTATGAATGAAGTTCGAACAGTGTCAGTTAGTTTGACAAGTAACCTTGAATTAGATGAGTATCAAGGAATATAGTTAATTTCTATAAATACCACGAAGGAACTGAGTGCCGGGACGTTCGACGGATATCATGAGGTTCAACGATTATCACAAAATTAGATGGATTTTCAGAAATTCAATGTTTATTTTGCGCTTCGATAAGCACCCACGTATCTTGTAAGCAAACGTGTTTGTTTTCTATGATCAAACTGAGATGCATTGTATGTATATTTACAATTGTGAGTCGAACGCTACAATATGGCGGTTTGTTTGATTACAATGAACAATATCATTTGTTGGGGAAACTGAATGATAGAAATTGCGATTTTGGAAGAATACTCTAAAGGGAATATTTCATACGTGATACGAACTTTAAAAGATTGATATACCATTGGTGCTGCTCCCACACACACCACAAAAGTGCTCCAAAGTGGAGAATCTAGTCTTTGAGCAGTGAAGCTTTTTAGAAATGTGTGTAAAGGTGTGATCCATGGACATTTGAGTGATGCAGCCAATACAAATGTCCACTGAATTAGGACACGAATATCCGACGAAGTAGGACACAAATGTCTACCGTTCAATGACACATTTTTAAAGATCTGTGCAGATTACATACATGTGTACACAACTTAGAAACAGTTAACTTTCATGAGGCACAGCTTACATAAATGTGTACACAACTTAGAAACATTTTACTTTCATGAGGCACAGCTTGCATAAATGTGTACACAACTTAGAAACGGTTAACTTTCAAGAGACGCAGCTTACATATATGTGTACACAATTGACTTATAAGTGGTGCAGCTTACATAAACGTGTACACAGTGGACTTTTACATGGTACAGCTTTCGGAAATGTACACAGAATCTGGATAAGCTGATCCCTGAGCGGTACACAGCTAGATGTGCAACACTCCTTTCAAGAGTGAACAAGAGCAACATAGAAAAACAAGCTTATGCTAGCTAAGCAGTTGTGGATATCGTATGAAACGAATTGCATCACAAACTTCGAGTATGTGAAATGAACAACAAGACCAGTAACCTATATTAAAACGAAGTGTAGGTAATGTTGGAAGAACGCTATTTTTGAGTACAGTACAGCTACAGTATCACATTTGATGAAAGAAGATAGTGTGTTCTCAAAATGTTTACTGAGAATGGGACTATACATGGCGATAAGTAATATTTAGTGGGTTCAAAAACTAGCAACTGACGTCACAAGTCTCGGATCATTCCCACAAACTCTCCGTCCACACGTCAACAGCCTGCGCAGATTTCAACTACAAGTCGTGGTCTGATTAAATGTTCGCCTTGCCTTTCTTCTGAGAACTGAGTGTCTTCAGATGATCAAGTCACTCCGACTGGCATGTGTTCAGTGTGAAGAAGATGTAATAGAGGAATGAAACCGTTATAAATTTTACCTTAATAAGGAATGGATTGTACTAAATATTTGGATTGAAATGCATAGTAAGTAATAGAGAATGCATGATAACTGCATACAATAATTGAATTTTGGCTATGTGGAAATGCTGCGCATTATTTACGTATTAAATATGTCGGTTTATTTTAACTGAAAATTTAGGTAGGATTAATGATGACCATTATTTTATGAACAAATCGGAGAAACAATTGAGGTTTTAATCAGTAACGATTAGTTGTGAATACATATTTATAGCAGTGGTATAAAACCACTAATTGTAATAGATGTGGACCATAATTTAGAGAGCCAGAAGTATTGGTTTCGTATTTAATTGATGATATAACTGACTATGATACAAGTGGACCATAATTCAGGGAGCTATGTACAATAATAGTTTCGCATTTCACTGAAGAGGATGCGAATTTTAATGAGAGTAGACTAGACCATAATTTAAGGAGCTATGTGAAACGGAAACTACTGGACGTAAAATTGCCTAGAGAAACAAAATAACAGCCAGGGGCTGCTGGGGTTGGTTCTGCAACGTCTTGTAAAGGATACGCAACTAACCTATAGGTAAAACGGAAGCTTCGCATTTCATTGATAGGCGGAAGAACTGTGTAAGAAAGTCGCCATGATTTACTGAATAAAGTACAAGTGTGTCCAGTTTCTTTGAAATGGCTGTGAATTGTGATGACCACAGAGGATTCCGTTTCTGTTTCTTTTTTCGAAAGATGTAATTAAATAAAAGGACATCAAACGGTGATTTGTGGAACATATTTAACAATGCTACTATTTGACAAGCAGTTTTAGGTATGATATTGCATCAGTAAATGTAACCACACCAATGGTATGTCATGCTAAAACACTCTATAAACAATATGTTTACCAACTTGTGTTCGTTTCTCTGGATTTCCTTCAACGAAATGATTAGGCATGCATTTGCAGATGCTAGTAAGGTGGATCATTGGGAACCCACGAAAGAGGAAGACATTGATATACAGAAAGTAGAGGAAAGTACTGTCAACCAGGTAGTAGTGAAAGGTATTGTCAAACCGAAAGGAGAGGAAGTTATTGTCAACCTGGAAGTCGAAGAAGGTATTGTCAAACCGAAAGGAGAGGAAGTTATTGTCGATCTGGAAGTCGAAGAATGTATTGCCAAACTTGAAGAAGGGGAAAACATCGTCATACCAGAAGTAAACGAAGACAATGCCACACAGGAATCGAGGCCAAGTATCGTCAAACAGGCGCTCCCGGATGGAGGCTACGGCTGGTTTGTAGTACTCGGATGCTTTATTTCTCATGTTATCGGCGGAGGAATAGAGAGGAGTGACGGACTCATCTATATGCAATTTATCGCACGCTTCCAAAAAAGCGCCAGCCTGACGTCCATGCCTGGCTCGATCATGTCCACTCTGAATTTATGCTTGGCTCCTGTTGCCGGTATCGTTTGCAACATGTACAGTGCACGGACGTCTGTGATGATCGGTGGTTTGTTGATGTCCTTAGGCTGCATCCTCAGCGGTTTTGCTACGAATTTCTACTTCCTCTTCTTCTCCTACGCCTTGCTGGTGGGAACGGGAAGAGGTCTCAGCTATGCTCCTGGTCTCATTCTGGTGGCAATGTACTTTGACAAGAGACGTGGGTTAGCTACAAGTATTAGCTCGTCTGGTGTGGGTATAGGTGGGTTTATTATAGTGCTCATTTCTCATTATCTTTTCGAGAATTATGAATTTCAAGGAGCTTTTTTAATTATCGGCGGAATTGCTTTACACACAAATCTAGCTGCCATGTTATATCGACCCATGACCATGCATCAGAGGTTCAACGAAAGGTTGATGACACACAGCTTGGCTGTTGACCCCGTAGAAACAACAGTAGCGATTGTTGCCTCGGAGTCGTCGTCCTCCGAACTAGACTCTAGGCGGCCGCCGAGTTTGTTTCAGTCAAGCGTCGACCAAAAACTGGAGATTGAAAGTCCTACAAGTTTAAGGAACGATAACGCAAATACTAAATATCTTGGGCAGAATCCGTTTATTGGCAATAATTGTGTGACAACAGCTGTCAAAATTTGTTTTCCAAAAGAAATTAGGGAAGACAATAATAAAATGTCCCGACAGTTGTGTCACCTCTACTTGTTAAAGAATACGCCATTCTTACTCTACTGCATCAGCGCATGGCTCTTCTCAATGGCGATGAAATCTGGATACACGTTTATCCAGGCTTTGGTTATTTCCAAAGGCATCTCGAAAGCAGAAGCCGCATTGGTGATGTCAATAGCAGGACTAGCCGACTGCGTTTCAAGAATAGGAGCCGGTTTTTTGTTAGACTTAAAGCTCTTTCACGTTTATCGGCTGCTAATTTACACTGTTATCAGCCTATCGCTAGCGTTGGTACTTTTCCTTCTGCCTTCCAGGGATTCCTTTCATTCTTTCGTTGTCTTGTGGTGTGTCTTCGGGGTTTTAACAGGGATTTTTATCTCTCAAAGGGTGGTCATACTAGTGGATATCCTGGGGATCCAGCAGATCGCCAACTCCTTGGTGATTGTGATTTGCTTCCAGAGCCTCGGAACGCTGCTGGGACCGCCATTGTCTGGCACGGTCAAGGATTACTTTGGAACGGTCGATGAGTTGTTTTATTTGAATGGAATGTTTATGGTGACTGCAGGAATTTTTATGTGCGCTACTTGGGTGTTTTTTCGGTATGCAAAGGCGGAATAGTGATTTACAGTGATTGTTTGGATTAGGCATGTGATAGTGTGATCAAATCTAACTGAATGTCGTCTCCTCTCAACTCACCTCATTTCATCTAAACTCTACTCAGCTCATCTCATCTGATTTCATATGCCACAACTCATCTTATCTCAAATCATTACACCCAAACTCACCTTAATTCATCTCAATTACATCACAGAGTATGTTATGAAAGGTAGAGGCAGGCAAGCCCCGTTCAGAGTGACAAGCATCGCTTCAGAGATCCTGGGTTGTTAGCGTCCTTTGGATATTTTCTCCAGAATATGCTGGTGTATTGGCAAAATTTAGCAGGCAGATGGACTGGCTGGCTCTGCACCACTTGGTGGTGAACTGATGTGTGACAAGCTAGATGTTGTGATGGCCATTTAGGAGCGATTAAACATTGTTGAGGCACAGATAGATCATTATTGTCTGAGGAGAATAACGCTGTATGGAGTTATCAGGGGATCGGGCCGACGCTCAACACTCAAGGGAAAGGCGAGACGTATGTACAATCAGACTGTTACTAGTACTATGGGAACTGGAATTCGCTAGCTGCTGAATATGGAGAAGGTGCGCTTATGGGAGTGTCCCGAGTGCTGTGATGGCGATTCGTAATTCAATATTTATTCGTTCAACATTCATTTTATCTCAGCTAATCCCATCTCCTCGTAACTCATCCGGTCTCAGCTAGTTCTGTCTTTTCTCAGTTCATCTACTTTTAGTTTAGCTCATCTGATCTCAGCTCACCCTCATCTTATCTCACCTCATCGCATCCCAATTTTATCTCATCTCATCTTTATCGCATCCCAACTTTATCTCATCCCAACTCATTTATCCTGATTTCAGCTCAGCTGATCTCATCTCATTCGTTCGCTCGTTTGTTCTCTCGTTCACTCATCTTATCTGGTCCCGTCTCATCTAAACTCATCTCATCTGATCTCATTTCAAAATATCTAACTCATTTCATTTCATCTCATTCCATCTTAACTCATCTCACTTCAGCTCATCCTAATGTGCGCATGCATTTTAACACCCATCCTTTTAGGATTTTTCTCTCTCTTGATATTCGTAATATGCATATTATTATATAAACATAGCGTTTTTGATTGATTAAAAACGACTGATGTGGGAAAGATCAGTGTGTTTGCAAGAGTCGAATGTAAGATGGGCCTGTACACCCAATTTGTAACGCTTTGAAAATGTTGTCCTTTCTTTCGTTCGTTCGTTCATCTATTTTTATCGCATCCCATTTAAACTGTGCCCTGTAACCTGTTCATAATATTGTTAAGGTCGTCAAGAGTGTTAAGGGCGTTACACCACGGTGCCTAAGAGCACAGTGACGTCAAAAATAATGAGTAAAGATGGCCGCCTTGTTTTTGACGTGTACCAAAGAGAAGCAGCGTTCATGAAAATGTCACGGTTTTTTTAAATTTCTATCACAGTTTTAAAGTTTTTATTTAAAGTCCCCTCGTAGATGAGACACACTGACTCTCTCGTAATTTAGAAGTTGTGCTATGGACCATACTTTTGAATGGTCGGTGCTTGTAGCGTTTTCTGACCCAGAAAGAGAATGACTTTCCTTTCCATTCATGTCTCGTCGTGTCGCCGGGCCTCCTATGTTGTGGGGGTGTCATGCTTAGTAAGCGGCCACAAGCACGACGTATTTTTTAACTCGTTGTTAACAGCGGCCGACGATATCGCATGTTCTATAGTCCACAATGTGAGTCCTTTTAACGGTCGCAAAGAGAGAGTGCAGCCTACGTCCTATGACTGCATGCAGCCTATATTATATGCTGCATACAGTCGTACGACCTAGGTTGCATGAAGTCATGGGATGTAGTCTAAGGCTTTTGGGTAGTGGGACTGGGGTTAGGGCCAGTTCTAGATGTTTTGGGACTGTTGAAAGCGCTCACCTGAGGGAACATAGAACACGCGATATCGCCGGTTGGTGACAACAAAGAGTAAAATACTACACGTTGGAAGCCAGTCACTATGCATGACACCCCTGCAACATAGAACAGGCCCGGCAAAACGACGAGGTATGAATGGGAAGGAAAGTCACTCTCTCTCTCTGGGTCAGAAAACGTTACTATAACCAAATTGTCATTGGAAAAAAAAAAGGCTTTTTTTTAAAAGAGAATTTATAAAAATGTCCAAAGATATATTATTAGCAAGACACGAAACAACTATTGAGACGTATAATTTGTAAGGGATTAGATGGGAAGGTTCGGCGTCTTACTTAGTAAAGTGAAAAAAAAAAAAAAAAAAGTAAAGGGCCCTTTTGCACGCCTTTAGCCGTATAGAGCACATAGGGCCAGATCTATATTTCATTGACCAATCGGCACAAGATGGTTGATGTGGTCAGCATCACGCCGGCCGCCTTACTTCTTCTTTCGTTGGCCAGACATATTTCCATGGCGTGAGTGCGTGGCATCCTGATTGCTGTGGTGCTGTGGTGCGCCTCCTGGCTGGTTGCCTCCGACTTCAGCACCTTGTTTTGCAAGGGTAGACTGTGGTCATACTCGAGGAGGGTAGGCGCATCCCTTCGTCTTTTGCCTTTACCTCGTTTGTTGTCCCATCCAGTTTCCCGCTGGGGGTTAAGATCCCAACCTTCAACTGGATTGCTGGGAAGAACAGGGTCCACCACGTGAAGGTGAGGTAGGCTTGAGCAAGAGAGGCTTATAGACATTAGGAGTCTTGTATTGCGCATCATTGCTCCATTAGGACCCCGCTGGCCGCCTTCACTTCCGGGGACTAAACCCGGTACCCACTCAAGCCTGAGTCGATCTGGGAGCCAAGGTCATTTTTGAAAAAAGTCCGGCTCCGCCAGGTAGCGAACCCACGACCTTATTATCCGTGGCGAGCGTCTAGCAGCTCCGCCACGGCGACTCGCAAGTCTTATTTACAAGAGATTAAATACAAATGTAGGCTAGTATCTAGTTTACAAAATATTAGATGGAAGAATACAAAAAAGCTGTTTTTCCTTTTAAGAGATTACTACGAAATGTACTCGGGCGAGTATGTTGTGTTCAAATGAACTCAGGCGAGTATGTTGTGTTCAAATGAACTCAGGCGAGTATGTTGTGTTTAAATGTACTCGGGCGAGTATGTTGTTTTTAAATGTACTCAGGCGAGTATGTTGTGTTCAAATGTACTCGGCGAGTATGTTGTGTTTAAATGTACTCGGGCGAGTATGTTGTGTTTAAATGTACTCGGGCGAGTATGTTGTGTTTAAATGCACTCAGGCGAGTATGTTGTGTTTAAATTTACTCGGGTGAGTATGTTGTGTTTAAATGAACACTGGCGAGTATGTTGTGTTTAAATGAACTCAGGCGAGTATGTTGTGTTAAAATGTACTCGGGCGAGTATGCTGTGTTTAAATGAACTCAGGCGAGTATGCTGTGTTTAAATGAACTCAGGCGAGTATGTTGTGTTTAAATGTACTCGGGCGAGTATGTTGTGTTTAAATGTACTCGGGCGAGTATGTTGTGTTTAAATGTACTCAGGCGAGTATGTTGTGTTCAAATGTACTCGGCGAGTATGTTGTGTTTAAATGAACGCGGGCGAGTATGTTGTGTTTAAATGAACTCAGGCGAGTATGTTGTGTTTAAATGTACTCAGGCGAGTATGTTGTGTTCAAATGAACTCAGGCGAGTATGTTGTGTTTAAATGTACTTAGACGAGTATGTTGTGTTTAAACGAACTCAGGCGAGTATGTTGTGTTTAAATGTACTCGGCGAGTATGTTGTGTTCAAATGTACTCAGGCGAGTATGCTGTGTTCAAATGAACTCGGGCGAGTATGTTGTGTTTAAATGTACTCGGGCGAGTATGTTGTGTTTAAATGTACTCAGGCGAGTATGTTGTGTTTAAATGTACTCGGGCGAGTATGTTGTGTTTAAATGAACTCAGGTGAGTATGTTGTGTTTACAAGAAAGTATATGGAAATGTACTTAACGTCTTGTGTGCTAGTGAAATGTACTTGGAAATATACTACGTGTTTTTCTGCTGTTATTGTGGTTGCTAAGAGATTATACTGACTTGTACAAATAAAGTCTATTTTGCCAGAGATTATACGGGGGAAGTATAATTTCTTATTTATAAAACAGATTAGATATAAATGTGCGATAATGTCTTATTTGCAAAAGATTAGATGAAAATGTTCCAAGAATGATTTGTGAAAGATTCGATGAAAATATCATATTGTCTTTTCTTTGCACAAGATTCGATGGAGGAATAAGATAGCTTGTTTTTTTCAAAGACATTATAAGGAAATTTACAAGAAAAGTTTAAAAATAAAATCGGGTGAGAATGCAAATTATGATATATGTACAAAATGTGCTGAAGGAGGGTAAAAAATGGTGTGTGTGAGGGGGGGGGGGGAACAAAACTTTGAAATACAGGATGTATTATTTACAAAGATAATACAATGGACGTGTACAGTTATTCCTATATCAGATAGAAATGCAATGTAATTTCTTTTATGTGAAAGAGATTAAATGGAAACCACCATTTGCTTTTCTTTGCCCGAGATCAGAACGAAGGAACGAACGTACGAACTTTATTTTTTAAGGGTTGAAAACTGGGCACGCAGGCCCGCCTAACATTCTGCCCTTTGAGGTCTACCTCCTTTTTTTCCCCATATAATTTCATTTATACATCAAGTAATATTAAACATTATCAATAGCATCCAAATATTCCAAATGTGAACATTTCTAACTACAGTAAACCGTAGTAATCGTTATAGGTCTACGGAAAGTGTGCGCTATTTCGAAATTATATGTTTTATCTTCTTAGGGAGATTTTTTATCTGTGCTTATATAATATTTGAACAGTTTCCGATTCTGTGTTTAGTGACTAGTGGCATGTCTGATTCGTTGTGGAAGATAGTTCCACAACTGAGCTGCAGAGTATACCAAACCAGTTTTGCATAGGTCTATCCTAGGTGTAAGTAAAACAAAACAAAAAAGTAATGGTCCCTTTTCCA